AAAAAAAAAAAAAAAAAAAAAAAAAGACAACTGGCTCAGCATCTGTAGCTCAGAGGCTAGGGTACCAGGCACATACACCGGAGCTGGCGGGTTTAACTGCCAAACAACAATGACAACTACAACACAAAATAGCCTGGTGTTGTGGGTAAGCGCCTGTAGTCTCAGTTACTTGGGAGGCTGAGGCAAGAGAATCCCCTAAGCCCAAGAGTTTGAGGTTGCTGTGACGCCACGGCACTCTACCAAGGGCAACATAGTTAGTCTCTGTATAATAAAAACAAAACCAGACAACTAAGCAACTATTAAGTATCAAGTACCCTGTTCGAATTATCGAAGTTTCTGCGTGTGTATTAAGCTCATCAAGGTGTGCCAAGTTTGTAAACAAAGAGTGATGTGTTGCAGATTCTTGACACTTTGTGGGGTCACAAACTGGTGGATAATACCCAGGCTCCTCCACTAGACTCGTTTATCCAAGCAAAAAAATCCACCTTCCGTCTAGACTCCATACACATAAAACTGAATACGCTTTCAAAGCAGTTTCTAACATGGACAACAATACCTTAATCTACATCAGTACCAGAAATTAACGCCAACTAGGATCCAAAATGGGGTGTAACCTGAAGTCCGCTGACTTTGGTAGCTAGGAACAGCCAAACTAGACAAAAGGATGAGGAACTACGACTAAGCGTTTACTAAATTACTTATCCCATGAGGCAGACACGCAGCTGTTCCAGAATCCTTTTACTTAACCCACGTTACCCTTCAGTTTGCAAAATTATCTTCTACTATAAAATACTGACGTTGTAACCTTAAAGTTTACTTTCCCTTTACTCAAGCGCCATCGGGGGGCCAAAATTAAAACCTCTTCCTAACCCGCACCAAGTCCTTACTGCCAACATCACCAGATTAGAGGTAAAAAAAAAAAAAAAAAAAACCCACGCTGAAGGGAATTCCTAAGGCATCAGACCACGCGGCTCCACGCAGCCTAATCGGGTAGGTCGTCCACGATACCGGGGCTGAAGCTATAAGGACAGAAAATGAAAACGACATCTTTTCCAAATAAATTTTAATCGCTTCACCCCCAGTGACTCGGCCTTGTCCTTCTGTCCCTTCCAGAGCCGCAACATCGCAGTCTGCTCCTCAGACCCGGCCCAGACCCGACCCGGCGCACACTGCTCGCTCTCTGGCAGGACATAGCTCCACCTGCCCACTCTAGTGAGCCCCAGACAGGCTAGACAGTCCTTCTGCGGCCTCAGTGCACAACCTCAGCAGCCACAAGGCTGCGATTCAAGTCCGCCGAACCCAGGGAACCGGGAGCCACGCGTAGAGCCTACCTGAAAGATGGCGTCTCCGGCCGAAAGGAAGGGGGCGGGGCTCCGGCGCGCGTCTTACAAGGGCCTGCGGGCTGCCCGCGGCGCTGCCTGAAGGAAACACCAGCTAAAAGAGACTCTTTCTAGGCAAGAAGATTGTCCCGGAGAACTGGGAGAGTCTGAGAAGATATTTTTCTTTCTTGAGAAAGCGAGGCAATTAGCCAGCACAAACTGACATTTGTATGATGTCAGCCAGCCGGGAAAGGGTCCTTCAGGGTGTCAAACAGGACACCGACGTACCGAGCGTATACGTCCTTCCTTGCGTCACTGCTTACGCCGGAAGCGGGCTTGGGCCAGCGTCTCACGTCGGAGTCAGGCTGGTCCTTCGCCGTCAGGTTTTTTTAAAGCTATGGTGGCTGGCGTCTAGCTACAGTGGAGTGAGCATATTATCTAGTTTGTGTGTCTTTAAAGTTTTTGTTTCCTTACGTGTCTAACGCAAATGTTAAAACCGCGTTGAAAAGCAGTATCGCAAACTCTAGTAAAACCGAAGGTTTTCCTAATACTAAACCCAGGCATTCTGCTGGAAACTTAGATATGTGGGCAAGGATGTACAAAATAGCACTGTGGTAGAAGCAGAAAACTAGAAATGTCCACCAATAAGGGAATAAATGTGTTACGGAATGTTAGTAAGATGGAATATTATATGCCAGTAAAACAAGAAATAGGAGACAAAAATGGGGAAGGCGTCGCTGTAGTACTGTGAAAATTCATACATAAACAAAACATGGAAAATAATACTATGTATTTCTTAGGCATATATTTATATGTAGTTAAAGTAGTCAAACACAAGGGAGTGGAAATAGATTTAGAAAAGCGGTCACGTCTGATAAGGAGGGAATGATAAAGGGAGATTTTGACTGGATTGACTGTTATTAAGCTGGGTGTTGACTATATAGGTGACCATTGTTCTATTCATTACAACTTTTAAAATAGGTACTCTCTTGATAAAGTTTATCTTTTAAGGTGGTTTGGATTTATTTTTAAAGTTGAGAAAATATTTCAGAAAATTCCTGTATACCCAGCATCTGGATTCCTCTGTCATTAACATCTTAACTCTAGTATGGGAAATTTGTTGGAATTGATGAACCAATGGTGTCTGACATTATCAAATAAAGGCCATATTTTATTTAGATTTTGTTAGCTTTTACCTAATACCCTTTTTCTGTTTCAGGATTCCATTCAAGATATAATGTTACACTTAGTTATCATGGCTCCCTATGTGCTTTTGGCTGTGAAAGTTTCTCAGAAAGTCCTTATTTTTGATGACTTTAACAATTTGAAGGTGTGTTGGTCAGACATTTTCTAGAATGCCCTAAGAATGGAATTTGATGTTTTTTCCATAACTACATGTATTATTTTTAGGATGATTTTTAAAAAATCAGCTGTAACATAAACACCTTTTCTGAATGTACATGTTACCCACTTGCTTTTGAAATTATCATTTCTTTCTCTTTTGATTCATCTGGAACTTGCAGTTTCTGAGAATTACATCAGCTCCAAATTTTTGACCCCAGTCGTTAGCTCTTTAGTAACTTGAAAAGGAATAGGATTCAGTCTTTTTTTTTTTTTTTTTTTTTTTAGACAGAGCCTCAAGCTGTCCCCCTGGGCAGAGTGCCGTGGCATTACAGCTCACAGCAACCTCCAACTCCTGGGCTCAAGCGAGTCTCCTGCCTCCGCCTCCCAAGTAGCTGGGACCACAGGCGCCCGCCACAACGCCCGGCTATTTTTTGGTTGCAGCTGTCATTGTTGTTTGGCGGGCCCAGGCTGGGGATTCGAACCCGCCACCTCAGGTGTACGTGGCTGGCGCCTTAGCCAGTTGAGCTACAGGCGCCGAGCCAGGATTCAGTCTTTATGATTCCTTCAATACACAGACTTCACCTTTACTGTTAGCTCCCTTTAATGTCTATATTCGTTTTTATTCAATTTAATTTTCTATACTTCATCATTACAGTCACTCCTTTCCACTACCTCAAGTCATTTTTTCTTTCCTATCTCTCTCTTAGCATATACACAAATATGGATAAAGGCAACCATTCATTGTCTCCATGACAATACCTCTATAACTGAGCATTGTTGAGGTAAATCTTGTAAACAGACCAACTAGTATGACTACAAATCACAAACTGTTCATCCTTGGGCTATATTTTTTGTACTCAGACATGTTTTCTTCAGTCTCTAGAGTGTTTTGTAAGAGAAGGCATATAAAGGCATATTACATTTCAAAATTTCTGACTTCTCTTGAAAAATCAAGAGATTGGGCAATATAGGGCTGTTGGTCTTATTTATTAATTTATATTTAAGAGCCGAGATCTTGCTCTGTCACCTGGACTGGAGTGCAGTGGCCTGATCATAGCTCAATGTAATCTCAAACTCCTGGACTCCCCCCTTCACCCTCCCAAATAGTTAGGAGTAATTTTTACTGTGTTACACAGGCTGGTCTGGAACTCTTGCCTCGGCCTCCCAAAGTGCTGGGAATACAGGTGTGAGCCCCTATGCCTGACAGTCTTGATAACAATCCAGTGGCTACCCTTTAGATGGGGCATGTATTCTTGAGTTCCTTGGCCACTCAGCTTGCTACCTGTCATTTACCTACGTGGCTCCTGTAGGCATTCAAGTTTCTAACCCATGATGTATTCATGATCAGTCATTCTCAAATGGGTGCTCAGTACAGCTAGACTCTTGAACAACAGATTTGAACTGTGTGGGTCCATTTACATGTAGATGGAAAATAAAGTATTTGGGGATGTGAAACTGTGCTGTGGAGGACAGCTTACTCTTCACATGTGAGGTTTCACAGAGGCCACTGCAGGCCTCAAATGTGCAAAGATTCTGGTATATGAGGGAGCTAGAATCCTCTACATGTATCAAGGGATAACTCACTGTGGTTCCAGAGTTATTATGCTAACCTATTATTTTTTTTTTTTGAGACAGAGTCTCACTATGTGGCCTTGGGTAGAGTGCTGTGGCATCACAGCTCACAGCAACCTCAAACTCTTGGGCTTAAGTGATTCTTTTACCTCAGCCTCCCAAGTAGCTGGGACTACAGGCGCCTACCACAACATGCAGCTATGGTTATCATTGTTTAGCAGGCTGCATGTGGCCAGTGCCCTAACTTACTCTCTTTAAAGATTATTTTATGTGACTCCTTTGATTATCAGATCTCCCATCTCTTCTCCCCACCTTTCTCATAGCTAATGACTGCCTCACTTTGTTTAAGCACAAACATGTTCTGGTCTTTCCACTGAAAACCCACAGTACTTCTCTCTGGCTGTACTTGACCTCATATTCTCTTCTAACTACTGCTCCGTATTTTCATTGTTTTTGTGTCTTACTAAAAAGTCAAGAAATTACTGGTTTTGTACATCAAAAGCTGTCAGATTTCAGCAGTGCCATATGGTTTAACCAAATATG